TTTTCCCATTGTTTGTGCTCTCAATGAGGTCGATCTTCTAAGAGTCCAATACTATGATGCAATATTTAAGATACAGGTAGGATTGCCTGCCGGAAGACCAATTACATTAAACTAGTTGATACCCAAAACATCTGCTTTTGTTGAGATTGATCTATAATCTCTTGGTTCGGTATTTCCTCTCAGAACATCAATGAAATTAGATAAGCCCTATACAATATAAAATATTTATGTTCTACAATTCGATATGCCCCTCAATAGCTCCCGACAAATATTACCTTATAAGTAAATTAGATCTCTCTTTTTTGTCACTTAAAAGATATTGTACTTGTCACATACTTTCCTGCAAATAAAGTTTCAATTATAATATGTAACAAAACCTCTGTTAAGAATTAAGACATGCAAGAAGATGATGACACGTTTTCTTGTAGTTGTTGTTTGTGCAGATTTTTGAAAATAAATGATTTTATCTCTCATGAATGTTGTAAGCAACCTAACTGTTCAATGATGGAAACGTTCTGGAGCCCTGCTACTGAAGTTGAACCTGTTTTGCGAAGATGCAGTGAATGTGGAAAAGATTATGCAGATCTTTGTGATTATCTCGTCCATGAGTGTTGCACTCAAATCTCATTTCCCCAATCACCTCAACCATCTACATCTCATCAGATTATTTGTGCTCCTACCCAAAACTCATTTCCCCAATCACCTCAACCATCTACATCTCATCAGATTATTTGTGCTCCTACCCAAAACTCACTTCCTCTATCGCCTCAACCGTCTACATCTCATCAAAATATATGTGCTCATCAAAATAACAGTTCTCAACATATAAATCTCAAATGTGGCCCGAATAAGAGAAAAAAATTTTACTGCGATCGTTGTAAAAAAGGATTGAGTACTCAAGAAAGATTGTCAAAACATATGAAAGTGTGTGGTCTTTCCCTATTAACACCGACTCAAGCGTCATATTCAACATTAAATAACTTTACTCTGTTAAATCAAGCTTTTAATAAAAATTATCGACTTTATTCTCAGAACATAATAAATTGTTTCACCTTGGAAGACGTTGTTATCAATTATGGCGATGACAACAAAAATCTTGTTGAAGCTGTTGTTATGGAACTTGGTCCAATAAAAATCGCATTTTCTTTAAGTGTTGTTTTTGAAAAATTAGTAAGCGGAGAAAGTGTTGAATCTCACATGCATTCAATTTTCAAAAAATACTATCATGAAAGTGAGCCGATAACTGATTTAATCAGAGAAAGTTTTACCGAAATCCAGAATATTATTGATCATTACACAGAGCGTGGTAGTGGATTCCGTATTTTGTCAGTGAATAATTTGGATGTATATGTTGCAAAATATCAACCACACCATGGAGGGTGTTCATGGATAAAATTGCCACCAGCTTTAACTGCAAAGAGATGTATATCTTCTATGCAATGTAATCAGGACTGTTTCATGTATTCAGTTTTGGCAGGATTGTATAACAATGGAGCTAATATAAATCGTGTTAATTTATATGAACAGTATATTGATAAACATGACTTTTCAATGTGGAGAGGAGATGTAACCATTGACCAAATTGCAGGATTTGAGAAGAGAAACAATATTTCTGTTAGTGTATTTTCTTATCACTTCATTAAGAAATATGTCATTCCGGTCCGAATCGCTAAAAATCAATTGGAGAAGCATGTGAAGCTTTTTCTATTCCAAGATCATTATAGCTTGATAACAAGTTTTTCAAGATTATTGAATAGCAGAACGAACTACAGACGCTTTCATTGTGAAAGGTGTCTTTATGGATATCGTCTCGAGATTCAATTAGAAAATCATATAATTGAATGTAAGAAACGTGCTGTTCAGGCAGTTTTTATGCCTAAGGCAAAAAATGGTTCCGCTAAAGTTCCTTTTGTTCAGAGACAATTAAATAAAGAAATAAGACATCCTTTCGTAATATATGCTGATTTCGAATGCATCGCTGTGCCAACTAGTGATTCAATAAAAATAACAAGACATGAACCAACAAGTTATGGATACTGCATAATGGATTGGAACAAGAAAATTATTAAGAGCGAATTTCTTCATGGTGAGAATATTGCTAAAGAATTTTTGTTAAGTATAAAGAACTCAGAAAAGTGGATGCGTAATTACCTCAAAGAACATCAAGTCAGAGAGCTTCACATGCTTCCAGAGGATGAACAACATTTCGAAAATGCTATTTACTGTTGGATTTGTCGTGAAGCTTTATGTGATGATCGAGTTCGTGATCATGATCATCTTACAGGACGTTACCGCGGAGCAGCCCATAACAACTGTAATTTGAACTATTCGATACCTAAACGGATTCCAATATTTTTCCATAATCTGAAAAATTATGACTCACATATTCTGATAAAAGGAATGGATGCGAAAATATTCACAGACATCACTATAATTCCTCAAACTATGGAAAAGTATATTGGATGGTTTGTTGGCAATTTTGCGTTCCTTGATTCATTTGCTTTTTTACCAGCGAGTTTGGATACTTTAGCTAAAGATTTGAGTATTGATGAAAAAAATCAAATGCTACGACAATTATGGAGAGATGAAGATTTAACCGATTTGTACGAAAAAGCAACATTACCATATGAATATCTGGATTCATATGAAAAGTATGCAGACTCAACATTACCACCAATCGAAAAGTTTTATTCTTCGCTTAACGATAGCAACTGCTCCATTGAAATGTATTCTAGACTGGAGAGAATTTGGAAGCAGTTCAATTGTGAATCATTGGGTCAGCTTATAGACATTTATCTTAAACTAGATGTTTTAATGCTAGCTGCTATTTTTGAAAATTTCAGAGAAACATCCATAACAGATTTCGGAATCGACCCTCCTCACTATATGTCTGTGCCCGGTTTGTCCTTAGCATCTGCAGTAAAAATGTTGCGGATAGGATTAGAGTTATTCACAGAACTTGATATGTACATAATGATTGAGAACGGAAAACGTGGTGGTTTCACCACTACTGTGAAGAGGTATGCAAAAGCAAATAATCCTAATCAGAGTTCATATAATGGAGGTGATCAAACATGGCTACTGTATTTAGACGTTAATAATCTTTACGGGCATGCTATGCTACAAACATTACCTGTTGGAGATTATCGTTGGGTACGAAATTTTGATTTGCACGACATCCTGTCTACACCATCTTCATATATGAAAGGATACATCTTAGAAGTTGATTTAGAATATCCGAATCATTTACATGATGATCATAATGATTTCCCATTAGCACCTCATAAGATGTTAATCGAACATTCCATGCTGAGCCCGACTGCAATGGAAATATTAGATGGAATGAACTATAAACCTGCACTGTGTGAAAAATTGGTTGCAACTTTCCTGCCGCGAAAAAAATATGTGGTTCATTACCAAACCTTAAAATTCTATGTTTTTCATGGAATGGTAGTGACAAAAGTGCACAGAGTAATTAGCTTCAAACAAAAGAAATGGTTAGCCCCTTTCATTGAGTTTTGTACAGAAAAAAGACAAAATGCTGCTTCACCGTTTATATCTTCTCTCTACAAACTTTTTGTCAATAGCAATTACGGCAAAATGTTGGAAGATAAAAGGCAAAGGTGTAGAGTTGACTTAGTATTGAATGAAGCAATGGCTGCACGTAGAATCAGAAATAGTCAATGCAAATCAATGAAAATTTTGGACGAAGAAAAAGTCTTATTTCAAATGATCCCTGATGCAGTACTACTGGACAAACCAATAATCGTTGGTTTCACAATACTTGAACTTGCTAAACTTCATGTTTACACGCTTTATTATGATAAATTAAAATCATATTTCCATGAAAAGATGAGCTTAGTTTATTCTGACACTGATTCATTATTGATCGAGCTTAAAACAAATACTTTTGTCGATGATATGGAAAAATTTGATGACATTATGGATTTCAGCGATCTACCTCCAAGTGACCCACTCTTTTCCCTAGTTAACAAAAAAAGAATTGGTTGTTTAAAAGATGAAATGGCAGGTGATACCATTGAAGAAGTGATTGCAATAAGACCCAAACTTTATGCCGTGAAAACTAAAAATGGAGTAAAAAAGAAAGCTAAAGGTGTGCAACAAGCAGTCGTTAAGAATAAATTAACATTTGAGGATTATCACAATTCATTGTTCAACAATGCAGTTGTTGTCAGCGATGTTAACAGATTAGGGTCAGACGAACATAATATTCATCAATATAAACAGAAAAAATTGCTTTGTCTCCATTTGAAGATAAAAGATACTTGATTGACAAGATACATTCTCTTGCATATGGTCATTATAAAATAAATCAACAATTATAAATGTAATAATTAAACCAATAAAAATAAAGAATTATGTTCACCTCAAAATTATCTTCATATAAAATTATTGTAAGCATGTGGCTTACTTGGTTTGTGCCTGCAATATTTGAAATTTGAAAGGATTCGAACTCTTAGGTTCGTGTACCGACTGCCGCATGTCTCATATATAACATGCCACCATTATTTTACATATTTTTATGAAATAAAAATGTACTATATTTTATTTTCAAATTTTAAATATTCTTTTTATTTGTTTATAGAGTAAATATTCATTTTTGAGATGATTACACTTTTCAAAGGTTCTGAAGAATCTCTTTTTATTCATTGCTACAAATAATAAACAGAAATAACCACAAGCTGTTGAATCATTTCCTTGGTATTTCATTTTTGAGTGTGTGAAACAATTTGTATTTCTTTCAATAAAATTAAGAATTTCACCTTGAGGTTCTCGTCCGAAAGAATCGAAATAGAGAGCATATGATTTGGTGAAGTGGAGTGCAACCCAATGTGAGCCTTCTTTGTAGCTATGGTCTAAATTGATTATAAAATCCATTGGTTTATTGATTATTAACGGCAGCCTGTCAATCGGGAAAACTCCACCAAAATGTTTATACTTTCTTAAGTACCATTTCAAATCAATTGATGATAACATTTTCAATAATCTAGCTGCACATTTCTTTCTTTATCAACTGTTATGATATTATCAAACTGTCCCAATGCTACAAGCTTGACTTGACTCGTAAGGGTTTCAGAAAATCTTATTTCTAATCTTATAGTACCACGCTTGAGTAAATTCAGCGTTCCAGTTTCTCCGCCAAGTGTTCCATCTCCACCCAATTCAAACGCAAATAAACAATACAAGTGTTTATATTTATCATAATCGACATTTAGTTGGGGTATCCCATCATCTTGACCAGTATAGCGATATAAATTTATGAATTCACGCATGTATAGATCTTTCACAAAGTCTGGCTGATATGCAATACTTGGTATGCTATTTCCATCAACATTCAAGGCTAGATAATTTATTGAATAATTTTTGAACTCAAATGGATTAGCTTGTCTATCACCTGAAAAACTGGCTTCGTCTACAAATCCTACTATAATCCGTCTGGGCAAAATTCCGTTGAAAATATTTTCAATGCTTATCATATTAACTCCTTTTGTTATAGTAAAATTTTTAATTTCATTGCGAATAATGAAATATTTAGCTGATACTTTTTGTAATGTTGTAAGCAAGCTAGTCATAGCATCAGGAAAGAGCTTTACTCTACGAACGTGTAAAGCAATGCTATCAATCTTTGTTTTGTAAGTTTCCGTATCTGATGCAGCTGCAGCCCATACCGGAAAAGTTGATAGACTTCTCGTGAACTTGAAAACCATTGGAATAGCATTAATCATCAACCTATCTTGTTGACAAATAGGTAAATGTAATTTAAAATAGAAGTCGTATTGTCTGTCTGGAGTCACAAATTGTGCCTCTCTTCTACTTGCATTTCCTACATCAATTTCACTCGGAAATCTGTAAAGAAGCTCTTCTAGATATGCTTGATAATGATACATGTTGTTGGCTTGCGATAAATTAACACCATTTAAAAATAAATCAACTTGCTCAAACAGTGCATTTGCGAAGTTTTTCGCCATTTTTGCTTTTACCACTTGCTTAGTTGCTTCTCCAGTACTGTCAATTATTTTAACTTTCAAATGTAACATTGTGGAAGATAAATCAGTAAGATCCTCCGATGGTGGTACATGAATTTCATAAACCTGACTGCTCTCCAAGCTTGCTGATGGTCTATAAGCAACCTCATAAGTCGAGTCAATTGCAACTTGTGTTGTTGGAACACTAAATATAGTCAACTCGCTTTTAGCAACAGGTGCTGATTCAACATGTAAATATTCCATTATGAAAAAATATCTCTCTTTACTTTCTTTTTTCTTTTTCTTCTACTTTTACTTTTACTTTTACTTTTACTTTTACTTTTACTTTTACGTTTATCTTTACTTTTCTTATTCTTCCTTGCTTTCTTATACAATCTTTTTCTCTTAAAACCACTTCCATCTTGTTTCACTAATTGATTTACTTTGCTGATTGATTTATTGGTAATATTTTTGAGAGTTTCTTTTGACCTTGACTTCAATGCATCTTTCAACTTTTTCTTCTCCAATATGTCTGACCCAACGTTAACACCAGTTCTTAAAACTTGTTTTCCTAGATACTTTAACAATGGCATACCAAATCGGCCAATTAAACTCCCAATCCCATGACCACGTTGATATGGAGACCCTCTGAAAACATCAATATCACCAAAACCATTACCGATTTGGAAGTTAAAAAATTTTTGCAAATCAGAATCACACGAGCAATAAACTTTACGATTCATTTTTATACTAAACAATACTTTTGCATAATATTTATTAAGAACATTTCTTATACAACTTTTTTAAGATGTAAACCAATTAGTACTCTTCCTGAGTTAAATTTTACGGCTTCGCCTGCTTCATCGGTTAACACAAAATTTATGTTTTCAATTCTGTTGGACCGTAATGGATAATAAAAAGGTTTCAGAAATCTTTCATGAACAATTTGATGATTTTCATTTCTTCTCAAAGGTAAAACTCGCAGAACTCTTACACATTTATCTCCTACAAAATGTTCAGAGACAATGTCTGAATATACAAACATGAGGTGTGGTTGAAAATCGAGAGATGCTGATTTATCCGCTTTGATGCTTTCACTTGATGACATCAACTTTTGAATTTCATCAAGATAGGTATATCCATCAAAACCAAGTGATTGGATGAATGTCGGATCAGGAAAATGTGGTACGATGATTTTTTTATCGAGGTAACCTCTGTGTATGGTTAATTTATTATCTTTTACTTCTAAAAATGGTAGTTTATCATTCTCATCAATTTCAATGTTTAAATTTCTTTGAGGCTCATATTTGGCAAGTAATTTTTTGTTTGTTTCGATTTCTTCCAACAACTTTTCTTTTTCTGACAAATAGGTTTTGATTTTATCGTTTAATACTTTCACTTCATTTTCAAGGGTGGCTTGCTGATTTGTGAGCACTGCATCCTTACTTGAATGATTTGCAGCCTGTTTATCAACAGTTGTTTGGTATTGTTTTATTTCTGCTTCAAGTTTCTCTACTATATTTTGAAGTTTCTCCTTTTGTTTATTCAACTTTAACAACTCTTCTGAGTTCTTAATCTCTTTATCTTGTAACATTTTCGCAATTTTCGAATATTTTTCTTGCTCTAAACGAATTTGTTTATTCAATTTATTGATCTCATTGTCCATCTTAACTTTAATGTTTAGATTATCTAATACTTCTTTCTCCTTTTCTTTCGCACTAATATTTGGATCTTCAACTGCATCTTTTTTTGTTGCTTTAATCTTATTGAAGTCGGATTCCTGTTTTTTTAAACTTTCCATTGTCATCTCCATTTGCTGAATTTTTCTTTGGGATTCTTCCTGTAACACTCGATAATCATTTCTCAACTTTGAAATTTCAGACATTTTAGCAACAACACTGTTCTCAAAGTTTTGCGACCTTTGTTTTTCATTAGCCAGAGCTTCTTGTAAATGAACAACTGCTGATTCTCGGTATCTTCCTTTATCATATGAGTTAATTTTTAATAAATGTTCGTTCATCCGCCGAGAAGATGCTTCTTTATATTTTTCAAAATCTTCTTTTTGCTGTTCAGCAATTTTTATTTCATGTTGCACTTTTCGCAATTCTGAATCTTTCATCCTTAAATTAGTAGTAAGATTACTTATTTCACTATCCTTTTCAGTAACTTCTGCTGATAATTGATTGATCCGGTCCCATAATCTAGAAAACGTAGCAACGCCCAACCTTTTAATATCGTCCATATGTTTTATTTTTTGATCAATAGTCATATCATCAACATTTGTTGCTAAGAGATTCTGAAGTGTTGTGAGTTTGTCCCGCTTGGCTCTTTTCATTTTGGTTGTAGCAAACGATCTTTTAATAGCATCATTAATCTTCCTAATAACAGCGTTTGTATCATCTCCTGCTTCTACAATAAAATCAGAACTTGCACTTCTATTGTTTGCACCTGTTAAAAGCTGCAGATTTGATGTTCTTGAGGAAGGTATGATATCTGATGGATAGAAAATTTCCTGTATTCCAACCACCCAATCACCGCTAATATCAATAGGTCTAGCCAACTTATTTGAAAATTTTGATAATGTATTACCTGGAAACAAATCCATTGAAGCGTTAGAAACAGCTTCAATAAAAAACTCATTAGGTTGATTCCACATTTTGAGTCCACGAATTGAATTTGTTTGGGTATCCTCTCCACTTCACAAAATATTCTTTAACTTTTGTAACAGGATTGATTCTTTTCTTTAATATTTTGTCGATCTTATATAATGTTGGTTCAACAGCAAGGACAATTTCGTTATGATAAAAAACTGAAGTAATATCTTCACCTGACCAGTCTTTCAGTCTATATATATATCCTTGTGGCGTCTTCTTAACTTTTCTTATAGTGAATATTTCCTCAGTATAGTTGCTAGTCGCACCTTTTTCAAAAATTCCCTTTGCACGACTTATTCTAACTTTATCACCAATAGAATATGGCCTGTACTTCAAATCAACTTTCGGATGGTTTTTTCTTATATTTAATAACACATTCATAATGTTTTCTTTATTAACTTCAGCAGGAGACATCTTGATAGTGCGGTGAAATGAATTATTGTAAGAGAAAACTATATCTTGTAGCACATCAATATACCTTTTTGTCCCTTTATGTGATAGGAATCGATAAATACGGTTCCTTAATGTACGATTGAACCTTTCGACTATAGCACACTTTATTACATCATCAGTTGAAGTAAAAAATTTAATATTATAATTTTTCATTAAGGTGATGAAGTTATGATTTTTGAATTCTTTTCCTTGGTCACTCTGAATTTTAGTTGGGATTCTTCCTTTGGCGAAAATACTTTTCATAGCATTGCAAACTTCCTGACTGGATTTCTTCCTGACAGGTATTACCCAAACAAATCGACTGAAACAGTCTATCACATTCAATAAATAACGAAAATCATTATTTTCACCCGCTATCCATGACATGTCCATCAAATCTATCTGCCATTGTTCATCTATTGTGTCTACTAAAATTGGTAATCTCGGGAATTTTTTTTTGTCTGTTTAAATAGTGAATAAATTTCTTGTTCTTTGACCCATTTTTGCACATCATTGAACTTAACATCAGGAATTTTTCTCTTAATCGAACGATACAATCTTTTGATACCACCTAAAGATCCAATGGCTTTTGGTGTATAGTATTCTTGTTTTAGAAGCGTCTTAAGTCTGTCCATGATAGTTTGTGAGCTTTCAGCTTATTTTTAGCTGCCAAGTTCTTAACTAAATTTCGACAAGGAAGATTGTTATCTTTGATGTATTCAATAACAGTGTTTGTTCCATTTGGAGCTTTTCCATTCCATGCAGTATTAGATAAATAATCAACTATAGATTCAATTTCACTTCCTTTTATTTTACCGTGACTTCCTTGAATTTTATTATCATTGGAAACAAGATTTTTCTGTGCTTTCAGCGCGAATAATAATTTATGTTTAGTATTAGTATTATTTTCAACATTTGAACTAGGTTCTGATCATCTAATAATGAATAATATGATTCTTCAGAGTCAGATTCCATAAGAGTATCATCACTGTCAGCATCATGGATGTTGTCAGTTTTGATTTGTGTTGATTTCGATTCATTTTGTTCTTTTTTGATTCCTTTCCATATCTTATAACGATTCTCAATGTCCTTCTTTAGCTCACTTTCTTTGATCTTTTTCTTTTGCATTGAATGAATATCATTTTTCAATAAAATTTGATTTAACAATTTTATTTTGAGATTAGAAGGTAAATCTGAATTCAAAATAGGATCTAATTTATTTTTCTTTTTTAATGAACTAGCATGATGATTATGGTTATGATTCACATCATTCATATTATTGAAATGAATATCATTAAGCTGATCCTCTGGAACTAAAACCATTCTGGTGATTGTGTTCATTTCGACAACTTATTTGCAACTAGATTTGCCAAAATTGATATAGCAGGCACTAACAATCCTGGTAACAATCCACCCTTTTGAATTAATAATTTTTTCAATGTATTTGCAGGTAAATTGGTACTGATCCGTCTTATATCTTTTTTGTATTTTTTCAAATGTTTTCTGTGACGTGATGTTAAGTTTATGTGTCCAGATAAAGTTTTTTTTGCGATTTCTTGGATTACTTTTAGCACACTACATGGACATGAACATATAATCTTACGTCTCTCAGTTTTTCCATTTAATTTTGCTAATTGTTTTAAGGTAGGTAAAACTTTTATTGCTTTCTCAATCGACATTTTGAGTGATCTTAAACAATTACTTTCTTATATAATTGAAAATTTAATATTATTAGCACATTATTATTATAATTGATATGCATACATTGGTTTGTATTCTAACAACACATTAGTTAAAAGACGTATCTCATCCGGAGTATCAGGTTTCAGATCTATGAAAAGATATGAGTATGGTTCTTTTGTTGCATTTTCAAAAATGTCCCTGAACTTTACTATCTTATTTGGAAACATTTGTCTAGCCAACATTGCAGAAATTGACTTATCTCTAGGATTTTTGAAGAGCACTATGTAATGTGCGTTAAGCGATATATTACGGCTTTCTGCACCTTTGACAAACAAATTTTGAACGATAAGTATGACCGAAAGATTTTTATGGTGACTACCACGTGTGAAAAGCTGTGAAATTAACTTTGAGTTTGAGGATTCTGTCATCATATCGTCTATGATTACTAATTTAGGGGAATTTGTATCTATTTTCTCAAAAGCACTTTCAGGTAAA